TTTAAAGCCCTACATGGCATGGGTCCAGGTTACCTGAGGGACCATCTCATCCCCATTACATGAACCTGTCCCACCCAGTCAGGCAGAGAGGGCATGTTCCAGACATCGTCAGCAAAAGAATGTCAGCTGGCGGGGCCCAGGAGGAGACCTTCTCTGCTGTTGCCCCTGCCTTTTGGAATATTCTCTCCCAAGAGGTGTGGTAGGCCCCTACCTTTCCAACTTTCCAAAAAGGATTAAAGAGCTGGTTCTGCCAGTGTGCATGGGGTGTTATGGGCTCTAACAGTCCTTGGGGGTGGTTAGTACCCTCAAATGCTCCCTTGAATTATTCGCCAATTCTCCATCTTTCTTGGAGGCTATTTATTATTAGGACTGTTTTATATTTATATTGTATTTTAATGAATTTTATCTCTGCTGTAAACCGCCCAGAGTTGTTTCAATGAGACGGGCGGTGAAAAATTTGGTAAAAATAAAAATAAATAATGCAGCATTAGTTATTTTAATAGATGAGTTAGGCTCTAGAAAAAAAAAGTGAAGGATTGAAATGATTAGCAGTTAGATACCGAACTAACTCTCATTTTATTGTTGTTGGCCTTAAGATTAATAATGCACATTTCATTTACTGCAGAGTACTGCTACAGAACATAGTAAGGCTTTTCAGATTTTGTTGATTAACTGGAATCTTGCAGGTTTCTATTGATAGAATAATAAGTTTCAGTTATAAAATGAGCTATAATTTAAAGCACACTTTTTATCTGAATAATATTTTAAAATATAGCACACTTTATGAATCAAGTTAAACATTCTTATTTTTCCCCCTTGAAATCAAACAACTTTAAATACCAATTTTTTTCCTGCATCACGCCCTTTACAGTGAGAGATGAGTCATCACTCTGCCCATTTTATAGATGGGGAACTGAAGCTGTGATAAAATAATATAGCTGAGGACACACAATTCTTGAGAACGTGAATCCCAGTTTCCAATTCCAATATTGATGTTCTTTCCATTGTATAGATTTAGCACTTATATATTATTATTGGCAAAGCTACATTCTTAATTTTAGGTTCATTTGAGATGCACTGAAATTAAAAATTCTGTTAAATACTTCACAAAACTATGCTTGCACAAGTTAAGTAATACTGTGACTTTTTATTGCAAATTCCAATTAAATTAATGAGATCTAAATGGGAATAATTATAATTATAGTGCAGGCATTAACAATGCATACTATTGTTAATATATGTGTGTGTGTATTTGTACAATACAGTACATCAAACTAGTTACGCAACAAATATATTTGCTCAATGAGATAATGCTTACTATGGAACATTACTAACTAAATTTCATTATTTGATTTTTTTTTAAGTTTTTAATTTAGGGGTTTATCGTCGTGAAGCAGTTAAATCATATAAATCATATGATTTCTTCAGACATGATAATGAAGAAGCCATGAGGATTAGAAAGTAAGTTATTATTAACTTCATGTTAAGTGGTTGCTAAATGTAAATGTTTGAACCAATTAGTATTACTAACTAAAGAACTCATTAAGATAACCTCAAAACTTGATGAAAATGGAAATTCTATGCCCACCTTCCTAAAGATAACCCCACTGAATATTTTGAGTAAATAGGGATAGGTTTGCACTATGATTATAATGTCTAAATCTTTGAAACCTTTGAAAAATAAGAAGCAAAAGGATTAAGGGAAAAATAACCCTAAAATAAGGGATAAAATAAAAATATTCCAGAAAAAGAAAAAAAATCAAATACTACTGAACTCTTTGATAAAAAAAGTCTCAACATTCACATGTAAAATATGAAATTTCATTATTCTGTTTCTAATTTATTGCTTCCAACTATGAATAAACTTTTCTAGTATCATTTGTATTTATTTACTTATACTTAGTTATAAATCCTGTGTTATCTTGAAAAATATAGCTTCAGTGGATCACTACTTGGGGCTAAATTCAGTATTTAGAGGTTATTCTTTTTTAGATTAATTCAGGCTTCTCAAACTGTGGATCATGACCTTTTCAAACTGGGAGTCACAAACAAAGTGGGGGGGGGGAGTCACAAATTTTGTTTAAAGCTAAATAGGTTTGTACATTATCAAAAACTCATACCGCCAAAACTCACACAGTCTGTGCAGAGGGGGAACTGAGCAAAGCCTTACTCTGCAAGTACCACAGATGTTGCATTAGCTTCCAGTAGACTTCTGACTACAGTTCAAAAGGCTGGTTTTAAGCAATAATCCCCTTTATTGCTTGGTAATTAGTTATCTGCAGGACCACTTACTTCAGGTGGAACCAACCCTTCCTGTTTGATGGTCCCAAATGGGGATGTTAATAGCATACCCTATGAGAGATGGTGTGGTGGGGGAAAAATGTATGTATGTTTCAGGATAATGGAACAACCTACTTTTGGAGATCCAAATGACACCTTCCCTGTAGCTTTGCAGAGGGAAGTTAAGACTTAGCATTTCTGTAGAGCTTTTAGTGGATGAGGAGCAAGGGTTTGGGAGGTGTGGGCTTCCTTTATTGTATTTATGGACTATGGAGCATTTTATAAACTGCTGAAAGTCCAGCTGATATAAAAATGCTATAAACAAACCATCTACCAATCTCAGTAGCATTCTTTATTATTTACTTTTATTCATGAGGGTGATCATGAATTCATTTATCAATTTAGAGGATTGTGGTATTGCAAAGGCTGAGAACCTCTGGATTAATTAATTAAATTAAACTAATTAAATTAAATTAAATTAATTAAACCTCAGGAAAACCTGGATCTTGCATGTTTTGGTAGCAGTTCTTCAAATTAACAAGCAGCCATACATCAACAAGGTGATAGTAATACAGATAAAGTCACAAAGGCATTCTTCATTTTAATGTTCCTCCTAGATTTAGCTGTGAGAAAGTCCTTTCGCCACATGGTTCAGAGATGAAGAGGATTTGTTGCTATCAGGACCTTCTTCAAAGGGGGAGGGGGGATGCATCTGAAATAGCATTTAATATTTGAAGTATTTCAGTGGATCAATATTTTTGATTTATGGCAGAACTACTAATCGCTTGAGATACAATGACAAGAATTATTTCAGTTTCTGTTGTTGATTTCAAAACAGACAAAAAGAATGGAGAAAAAAATTTACATTGACTTATATTTCAGCAAGAAGAAAGTAGGATGGGAGGAGTTCTAATGAACATTTTTCCCCAGGCCTTTCAGATACTTAAAAGAGCTGTGCTTGCTGGATACTTTTAGATGTAGACATCTGCAAGCATTACAGTATCGTTACACTATATCTAATTACAGCGCAGGCCAGCAGAAACTTGGGTGTGTTAGAAAGCATCCAGCAATGAGAGAAGTAGATGGAGTGTGTGCTAATAGGGAAGGCCACAATGGAAAGGTTTCTGTGATTTCTTTTGGTCTCCAAGCCAAACGGGATCACTAAACCTGATCCAAACCACTGCCATAACTCCATATCTCCTAATCAGTTCAGGCCAGAAACGATGAGTGTATGTATTTCTAGAGAGGTAGCTGTTGTGTCTTCCTGCAGAAAAACAATGATCTTGTAGCAAATTAAGTTAATATATCAATGACAGCACATGCTTTCATGGATTATAGTCCACTTTTGTTGTCTATTATGCTGAGATGGTTGTCAGGTATGCCACAGACTGTGTTTGTTGTATTGGGGAATGATTATTGTTTGTTTTGTGAAGAAATCTTGATTTATCTTTAATTCTTTGGAGACAGTGGTAAACCTAGCTCAGCTGTGACAATGAAATCACTCTGTGCAATTGTTTGCTTAAGATGGCCATTCTGAGGTTAGTGACACAGAGGATAGGATCTCCAACCTTTTGGGGCTGGCAGGTATAATTTGGAGTTTTGAGAACATCTTATGGGAAAATGGAGAGGCAGGGCACTCGCAAAACATCCATTTCCCTGAAAGCAATCTAATGAAGTTACTTTCCAGCACCCATTGTGGCCTTCTTTGAATTGCTCTACAATGTCAGCTTATTTTCTTTATTTTTGGAGGGGTACTGATAGGCATTCTTCCAAGGAAAGCACTGGGCTGTTGCTGCCCCCTATTTTTAACTTCTAAAAATTCCTCTGGAGTCCATATGGACTCAGAGGCATACTTAGAAGCCAGAATGATGCTGGAGACTAATATTTTGTTCCACAGCGTCCTAGCTTTCCATTTATTATTATTTTAATCAAAAGAATATCAATGCAATACTAAAACTCTCATGGTATTTATGTGTTTGTCTGTTTGTCCCCTCAAGTTAGCCCAAACAGTACATTATACCACAACAACTTTTGAATCAAGATACCTAAAATCCATTAACTTAAAGAATGTGTAAAAAGTCTGGGAGCCATTACTCCTGTGGAATTGAAATTTCCATGATGTTTACACCAGTTTTATTTGCAAAGTTGTGGCCATAGCAGCTTCCCTGTGGTCACAGGGCATTTCTGACGCTCCCTGCCAGCTTCCTACAAGCAAAGTTAATGGGGAAGCCGGCAGGAAGTCGGAAGTCGCTCTTGCTCCCACTGCTTTTTTGCCCACCCGTGGTTATTCTGTTTATCTGGTTAGGTAAGTAAACATTGGCTTATTATTGAAGTTTGTTTGCCGCTGCAATTATTTTTCTATTTATGATATATACTCTTAGATGATTACAGAACCATCCAGCATTGGGGTAAAAAAAAATATGGTCAGCCTAAAATTTATTGTTCATTCTGGTCACATCAGACTTTACTGCCTTTCTCTCAAAGGATGAGCCAACAGGTCATAGGGTTGTCTAGTTTAAAATAAAATAAAGTTGGGCATGGATCTTGGTGATTGTGAAGGGAGTTGTTGATGGGTGTGTTGATCCCCAAGGGTGCCACATTGGGGAGCCTATAACAAAGTTTAACAATTGTCTCTTTCAAGAATTCAGAATTAAGAATAGTTCACCTTTCATGAGAGTTCTCAGCAGTAGGACCTAATTTAATTAGTCAACTCTTTAATTTTCATTCCATAAAGGAAAATTAGTAGTCTCAATCTCTCCTGGAAGAATGCGGCATCTTTTCTTCTCATTTGCCATATGAGCTCAATATGTTCCACCATCCAAACTTTTATTTTTGTGTTATTAATATATTCTGGTATTACCATAAATTGTACATCCTCACCTACAGAAAACCTTTAAGTCCAACCAAAATGTTAACTCACTTCTGAAAACATAATAACTGGCTGTAAACCAGGTCTATCTCTTCTATTGGATGATTATAATTGCTCAGTACTTTTATACAGGGAGGTTAATAGTTTGAGCTCCATAGCATTATAACTTTTAGAGTCTTCTTCATCAATAAATTAAAAAGGAAAAAGATTTTTCTCTCTTGCTGTTGGAAACTGAATGACATCAAGATCTTTGGCATATACAGTATACATTAATGGTAAGTTTTGCACAATTCAATTATTTCAATTCAACATTCTGAAGAAAAGTGTTGGACATTGACATGTTGGGAAACTAATAATTATCTAATGAGCAGTCTATTCAAACCAATATTCCAATGGACAAAAGGGCAAATCAAAGCATATTAATAGAAAGGAAATGAGGAATTCCAGAAGTTGGTTGAAAACGTTCTTTGTATAAAAATCTGTTATTTCCCATAAGAATTCATTACCAAAAGACATCATGTTTCTGTTTAGCAGCTATTCCATTATCAATAGGGCATTTAGTTATTTGTAAGGAAACAAGCTATTGGTATACATTCCAATTTTGTGTGTGTGTGTGTGTGCGCGCGCATGTGTATGCATGCGCACATGCCTTTGAGTCAGTGTTGACTCCTGGCAACTGCCTGGACAAGTCCCTGCAGTTTTCTTGGCAAGATTTTGCCATTGCCTCCTTCCTAGGGCTGAGAGATAGTGACTGGCCCAAGGTCATCCAACTGGTCTTTGTGCCTAAGGCAGGACTAGAATCTCCCAGTTTCTAGCCTGGTGCCTAATCACTACACCAAACTGGCTCTCTTTAATACCTTTATTAGAAGCAACCAAAATGCCTACAAGACTTCATCAGTATTCATCCATCACTTGGTATAAAAGGCAAAGAAGCTGCTGCTGCTGAAGACCTAAACATAGTATCTAGTCCTGATAGATTGTGAAGAATTTAAAAACTTGCAGATATGCTTATGACATTTTGGTTAATCTATCTGTCAACTTTTTTTTTTTTTTGCTTGTTCATTTTTATGGAGCAATATTAAGCACAAGTTAATTTGGGATTTTTTTCATAATTTATATACTTTATTTTTTTTAGATTACTTATTGCCTGTTTCCTCCACTAGGTGGCATAAATTCTTTTCTTTTTTGTTAAATTAAGGTTTTTCATGTATTTCCAAGTGGAAAATCTTGAATGGTCTCTACATTGTGAATTAGACAGTTTAGAAATTCCATTGGCACTGTTTGTGTCAGGCTCACTAGAATCTTAACTTCAAAAGAGTTGTGCATGAGCAAGATTATCACTATAAAATTACAGCTATAAAACTGAATGATTACTTTGGATGGTTTGAGTTCTCATTTCATTACAATCTTTCTTTCTTTCTTTCTCTCTCTCTCTCTCTCTCTCTTTCTTTCTTCCTTCCTTCATTTTTTGCAGACAATGTGCCTTGGTGGCCCTTGAAGATGTGAAAGTTTATCTCATGGAAGAGTCTGGCCAGATTGCTGTAGGTGCACACCAAATCACTGGGACACAATGCTGCAAGGATGGGAAAATTGTGGCCTTCCAGATGCTGTTAAATTACAACTCCCAGCACCCTAAAGTTTGACCATGCTGGTTGATATATAATTCAGCAACATCTGAAGGGCCCAGATGAGATGCTCAGAGCATTAAGCCTAATATTTTAGAAGAGGCATTGGCCTGGCATCAGCAACGGGTTTGCTGGGATAGTGGGACCTAGAATTGCCCAGGTATGCCAGATGCTGAAGCCAGGCTTAATTATGGAATTCTTTCTCCTTGTAGGCATACCTCCTATCCTGTTTTATGCACTAGGCAAAAACTTATTTATTCTACTGAATTGTTTAACTGACTTGATTCCATGCTAGGCCTTGCTGTTTAACATGATCCATCTCTCTTTTCTGCTTTTTGTTCAGGTCTTTGATGCAACCAACACAACACGAGAAAGACGGGATATGATTTTAACTTTTGCCAAAGAAAATTCTTTTAAGGTGATTATTTTGTTGCAACTTTGCCCCAGTACAAAGTCAGAGACAAATGACTATTTGTCTTTTGCTTTGTATTGGGATTTGCCACATGAAAAGGTATTGTCACCACAGGCAATCTCACATGCCCATTTGTGGATTTGTGAAATTGAACAGACAAACTTTAGTACTCCTACAATATAAATAAGTAAACCTTATCTTCATCTCCATTCTCTCCACTAAGCTGACTTTAAGTCCAGCATATAGTCATAACTGAAGAGGTAGCTAAGGCAAGTTCCAGCAGAAAACTGACTAGTCTTTTCCAAAATACATGTTATGCTGTGCCTATGAGTCAACAAACAACCCTGAATTGATCATACAGGAATTTTTGTAAACACATTCCAAACATCTTGCTTTGGATTTTTTCTAGTTAATGGTTTATTATTATTCAAATATGCAGATAATGAAATGATGTATTTTGGGATCTAATAGTTGCTTGGGTTTATATCACATTTTAGGAAGATCCATTTGATTACATTGTGTTACAGCAGAGGTGGGGATCCTCAACCTGTAGGCAAAAGTGGTCTTTGGCTCAGTTTCAAAAACCCATTGCAAGCAACCAGTTCATATAATCTGTCCCTTTTCTTGCAGCCTGCAAGGTGGAAGAGAGGGAAAAGAGGATGATAGAGAAATAAGAGAGAGAGAAGATAGTACCATAAAGATAGAACATAGTGACACCACCTATTTGGGGCTCTTCGGCCTCCCTCATCATTGGTATGCAATGCAGCCATGAACAAGTGACTTCTGCACAAATGTAGTTCTTGACAAGAAAAAACAAGTTGCTTATCCTGGCTCCAGAGTTTTTGTACTTTACAAAATAAATCTCCTTTTTTTTTCTTTTGTAGGTTTTTTTTGTGGAGTCGGTCTGTGATGATCCAGAAGTCATTGCTGCCAATATATTGGTTAGTATTTTATATCCTCTGGCTTTGTTTTGCTCAGTCATTCCTGCTGAGGAAAGAGTTAGCATCTGTGGAGCATTTCTAAGCTTAGGTTCTGTAGCCAGAGTTAGAACAGGTCCATGTCAAACCAGTCAGCAATTATGTTTTCAAAATAGGAAGAACACATTATGCACAACACCACAGAGAGCTCAAATTAGGAAGATGGGCTACGGCTGGTAGATGCTTGAACTGAGCAAGGAGGATTCGACTTGCTCAGCAATGTCCCACTCTGCACAAGACTTTGTCCCTTGAAGAATTTTGTTTAGCTGAGGGTATATTGCCCTAAAATGGCTGCAGCGTATTAGAAATTCAGTGCTAGAGTCCTTAGTGCTTGTTTATTTGTTTATACAGTAATATAGATTTATAAGGCTGCCCAACTCAACACTGGCTCTAGGTGGCATACAGATTAAAACAGATGCAGTGCCTAAAAACAAAACAAAAAGTATCATAAAAGTAAACAGAATGCGGTGGGGTGGGGGGGACATATACCCTAACTGAAACAGACACTGTATATCAAATGGACACACCCTGACCTGTCTCAGAGCTTGGGGAAAAAAACAGGTTTTCAGAGATCATATAAAGGCTTGTAGAGTTGGGGCCATCCAACTTCCGTGAGGATTGGTATTCCAAAGGGCAGGTGTTACAGTAGCGATGGTGTGCATCCTAGGTCCCATCAGATAACTGCTCTGTTGGATCTAATGGGGAGTGCAGAAATGATGAAAGAGAGGTGGTCCTTAGATAGTCAGGCCGTTCGCCATGAAGGGCTTGATAGGTGATAACCAGCACCTTGAACTGCACCCAGAAGCTCATAGTAACCATGTAGCAGAGCTGTTATATAGACATACTGAGAAGTACCCATAACTGCTCATGCTGCTGTATTCTGGACCAGATGCAGCTTCTGAGTGGTCTTCAAGTGCTGCCTTATGTAGAGCCCATTGCAGTAGTTTACCCACAAGGTGACCTAAGCATGCACTGGCCTAGGAATGGGCACAGGGATGGGAGGTATGCCATAATCTCTTGACAAATTATAGTTTTTTAAAGGGGATATGAGCTCTGATATCAGATTATATAACCATCATATATCCTAATTTGATTATACCAATTCCAGAAACATGAGGGCTTCTAGAGTTGCCTGATTTGTGTATTTTACATAGTGGGTAGGTGATGCTTGCCTGAGAAGTTATAAGGATTGCTTATTAATTACTTTTCTTAAATTTTCTTAGAAGGTTTTGCACTATTCCCAAGAATTAAACAGGCTAGGATTTCTTGCCTCACTATAAGAGTTAAACAATTTACCAATGGAAAAGTGTCTGTGTCAAACCCAGCAACCAATAATGGACATGATTTCATTATCTAGACCTCCTGATTTTATTTCCCTCTGACTGTTCTTTTCCTATTGCAGCCAAAACTATATAGCTCTCTCTATTTCAGGATAATGATCCATCTATCGGATGTACTAGATTGTAGGCTACATAAATTATTATGTAGCCTACATAAATATTAAAGCAGATAGTGCTTTTCCAAGTATTAGGTGCAACTACTTCTGAAACTATATTCATTAGATGTATTTATAAGATAAATAGATTATAAGATAAAAAAATCTCTTAAGAAAATTTATTCAGGGATCAGAATCTGAGAAAAAGATATCTGGTTATATCAACATTTGGAAGCTGGTTATTAATCTTGGAAGGGATATCTATGTATTGGAATCAGTGCGATTTTTTTTTTTTAAATCAACCCTGTGTTTCTGTTCCAAAATTATCAAAACTATCTGTTATTTGTTTCTTGTTAGAAGACATATTTTATTAAAAATATTTGTTTATTACAAAGCTTATTATCGCCACTGTTTATTTCTGTATGTGCATAAAGTTTCTGTATAGATACAGAGTTTATCTTTCAAAAAATATCTTTTGGTTGCCTCAGGAAGTTAAAGTCTCCAGTCCAGATTACCCAGAAAGAAACCGAGAGAATGTGATGGATGATTTTCTGAAGAGAATAGAATGTTATAAAGTCACCTATCAGCCTCTTGATCCAGCTGATTATGACAAGTAAGATGCACAGCAAAGGAATCATGGGAATTCTTGATCATAGTCTTGGATCCAGGACATCCCAGCAGAAGACCAGGCAGAGGTGACTTATTGAAGAGCCTCCCTGAAAAGCCTCTTCCTGAATGGGGTTGGGCTGTGGTAGGGGAAAATAAGGTAGATAACCTGATGAAATTCAAATGGAAGATCATTCTGGAATCAGAATATTCCACCCCAAAAGTTTAGTTTTTTTGTTCTAAACTCCCTGTGCCTTAATCCACCCCAAAAGAGTACCCCAAACTTCAGGAGAGACTGCTCA